AGACAATTTCTTCCATGTGACTTACTGCTTCTGAAAATCTGCTAGAGGGTCAGTTATGGCAGGTTCCAACTAGACAACACACAACAAAGACAAATTAATATTAGATAAATCATCAGAAAATCTGAGATAAAATATAATTGATTCTAGACATTTATAGTCCATTTTTAGTCCAAATTTGGATCAATAAATACACCCTCTTTGAAGAAGACGATGTACCAGCAATACCAGTGGTCTTTATATCAAGACTGGGCAATATATTTTACTGTCAAGGACTAAGTTTGTTGAGATAGCTGTTTGCAATGGGAAACAAAAGAAAACAAAATGTTATTCTAGTCTCAGTAATGTTGGCAAGTGGACAAATGTACATTCTTCAGTAAACATTTTTTTTAAATATTAAAAGGAAAAGCCAGATGAATTATCCTTGAAATTGAAATTTAGTCCATGTTGAAGGATGTAGTCTTTGACTTCAACAGTAAAGTGCTTCAGGTGTTCTTCAGTTTATACCAGGAAGTTTGTGTTATCTGGATAGCACAGGTAGTTGATGACTCTTCCTCGGGTCTTGATGCCACATTCTTCTTCTCATGGTCCAATTTTAGGGATCATTTACTAACCATACACATTAGAGATGGAGAATGATGCTCATCTAGATGATAACATAATTAGTAGAAAAACAAAAGGGGGGAATATGGGCAGCTAATACTAAATATTTGTAATAATCTGAATGCTATTTAATAAAAAAATGGAAAAAAAGAAGCTAAAATAATAAACAAAACTCAAAGTAAAAAAAAAAAGAGAGAGATGGATAATGGAATTAAATGTTTTAGGATTCCTAAAATTTGCTCTAGACAGTCAAATGTCTTTGTGTGATCAATAAAATGCAACTAAATCTTTCTGGTGTTCTCTACTATCATTCAAGATCCATCTGACATCAGCTATGATATCCCTTGTACTATTGGCCTCTTCTGAATCTATCTTGATTTTCTGGAAGTTCTCTGTAATTATACCATTTTAGCCTTTTTTGTTAATTTTCTAGATTTTATTTGCCTGTGATATTAATTGTTCTTTTTGTTAGGTCCATTGAGTTGAGTACAACTCATAGCAATCCTATGGACAACAGATCTGAACCATGTCATATCCTGTGCCATCTTCACACTTCCTGACAAACTAGAGTCCATTGTGGCAGTCACTGTTGTTGTTGCTAGGTACTATCAAGTTGAATACAATCCATAGCAACTCTATAAACTACGTATCTGAACCGTATTTCTATCCTGTGCCATCCTCACACTTCCTGACACAATCAAGTCCATTGTGGCAGTCATCATGTGAATCAACCTGGTCAAACGTCTTTCTCTCCTTCACCAACCGTCTAACTTTCTGAGCATCACATCCCACTCCGAGGAATAGCCCATCCTAGCAACATGCCTGAAGTATATGAGCTGAAGCCTCATCATTTTTGTCTCCAAAGAGCCCTCTGGCTCCACCCTCTCCAAGACAAATTTGTTTGCTCTTTTGGCTGTCCATGTGATGTTTAGCTGTCTTCTCCAACACCACAGCTCAAAGGCATCACTTCTTCTTTTGTTCTCCTTATTCATTGTCCAGCTCTCAGAGGCATAGCAAGTGATCAGAAAGACCATGCCCTGAATCAGACGTACCTTAGTCCTCAAACTAACATCATTGCTCTTCAATAATTTGGAGAGGTCCTGAGCTGCAGACTTTCCCAGTACAATACATTTCCTGATTTCCTGATTGCTGGTACCAAGGGTGTTAATTGTGGACCAAGCAAGATGAAGCTGTTGGCAGTTTCAATCTCTTTTCATCCATCATTATGTTATCTATCATCTAGGGGTAAGAACCTTTGATTTCTTGACATTGAGATGCAATTCATATTGAAGGTTGCATTTCTTGATTTTCTGCAACAAGTGCTTCAAGTCCTCCTCTCTTTCAGAAAACAAGGTTGTGTCTGCATAGTAATCATTATGTTCTATAATTTCCACACTCTATTGTCTGCTCCTTTTTTAAAAAAAAAA